TTCAAGTTGTTATGGTCCAATACCTGCAGATTTTGAGCTTTGCTTGGTCTCATTTTTGCTATAGGTTTTCAGTTTATGTTGTTGTCTATAGCGTTGTTATGTGTATTTTTTTAGTCTAGGTCACCTTGGGGGTGGGCTTTTTTGTATTTGTTTCTAGATATTCAGACTTCGGTCTGTCGGATTGTAAATTTTAATTATTAATGAAATCTATCGTTTTGAAAAAAAAAAAAGAAAAAAAAAAGAAAAAAAAAACGTAAGAAGATATATGAGAATGATAGATTCTAAGACTTTGGTTTCAATTAATAGTTGGGTTCTTTAAAAAATATCACAACCAATGTTTTCTTTATCTCCCTATAAGATGATCACAAATTTGGCTTATCGTCCCTCTCGAGATCGATAAAACCGTAGATTAAATCACATATATTAGCGTCTCCACTCAACACATGCAATTCAATTCCAAATAAATTAAAGATCTAATATCCTCACAACGACCTACTAATCTTTCGATTCAAGCAAGTAAATTGTGTCAAATATTAAAGATCTAATATTGAACTCATCTCTCGAATTATGAACAATATTGTCAAACATGTAAAAACATTGATCAAGTGCTAAACATGAAATAAGAACAAAATATTTGAATAGGGTTCAAAAGAAAACAATCAATTATAATACTTCATCCAAAATCCCAAAATATTAATCTACTACCAAGTCTTAGAATCAAATAAACTAGCCACTCATGTTCGAATTCAAATACATAGACATATTAGAAATCGACATGATAACAAAAGTTCAAAAGAAAGAAGAAAGAAAAACTAGGAATCTTGTTAATCTTTCTCCTTGATTCCTTCTTAGTTGGATCTTCTTTTTGCCTCCCAGTTGCTTCTCTTGTGTGTTCTAGGGATCTTTCTCTTGTTACTCACGTTCTCCCTCTCAAAATAGGGTAAATATGCCTTTTATAATGTCCAAAACTCTTCTCCTTTTCAAAATAGGCAATAAATAAAAACCAGCCTGCGCGCACGACACGACTATTCTGCCTGTGTCACTGTCTGTGTCGCAGCCCGTGCCAGGTCCCGTATCGCTGCCCGTGTCAGCTCTGCACACTCATTTTCTTGCTTGTTTCACTCGTTTCTTCTATTTTTTTTCATCCGTGCATCAATCTTTCATCATCTCGGGGGTCTTAGGTACTCACCATGCGCCTCCAATAGCCAAAAGCTCTACAAATATGTAATACCTTTCCAAATATGAAATATCTACAAAACTGAAATATCTACAAAACAAGCACGTGTAATAACATTTCCAACAAGAATAGAATAAACACGCAATAATTTAATTTATACACCAATAATGAAATGAATAAGCTCTAGATACTATATAAATATGTTTTAAAACCACACATGAACAGCCTTCGATGCTTAAGTCAGTGTTTTTCTACCCAATTCTCAAGAGTAAAAGTGGATAAATTGTGCCCAAGAAGTAAAGTTCGCCCCTATATATAAGAGTGAGTTACCTGACCTAGGAGCTGCTCGGATTTGGTGAGGTGGCTGCCCAAAGCTACTCGGGCCTGCCCGACTGTACACACTCACACTGTGTGTGTAAGAAGCGGTTTACGCCATTTACCAATCATATTGCACCACGTGTCCTCAGCACATGGGGTAAAGATTCCCTTGAAATCCCTGTTGAAGGCTCACATGTTCGACCATTCCTAGGTCGATCCTCATACTGCTCTTTATTTGGGAAGTGGTCGATCATGACCATTCTGCTCGATTATGTTCGGCCGAGGCGGCCCCTTCGGTTTGCTTGACTCGTTCGACCGACCTATTGAACCGGTTTTTTCCCTTGGGTATAATATCCCATATCAACGCCTTATATTGAGAATAACTTAAAACTGAAATCTCAAATGAAAAAGTATGAGAATAACTTAAAATTGAAACCTCATATGAAAAAAATTGAAAATTCAAGCTTTATTGTGACATAATAACAAAAAATCAAGCCCTATAAAATTTCCCCATATAACTATAGGAACAAGTCTCACACTAATTAGTAGCATGGGTTGCACTAATTAAGGGTAAAGTTCGAAATGATGTTTTTCCAAACGATAATATATTATAAATTCAAAAAGAGTACAACTGAGATGTTTAATGACACTACAAGAACTAAAACAAAGTCTGGAACAACCTCCAATTGAAATTACACAGGCAACCAAGGTGTATGAATACTTAAGAAAAAAATCCATAAATGAGACAAAACAACTCCATGAAAGAGATTAACAATAAGACTAAGTTGCCTGAGAACTAAAACTTTAAGAAAAACACAAAAAAAATACTAAAACTCACACTTACACGAATAGTAGAATAATACCTCCCCTACAACTCGCCTCCACACCATTACAACCATCAGAACCAACACATGGACCAAAACCCACAATGATCCAACCCCGCAACCGACAAACTAAAGGAGGGCAGTACACTAGAGGCCCCAAAACAAAAAAAACTGCAAACATGCTCAAGCGTCTAGTTAGATCTAGTGAAGAGGCGAGTCTCAACCTAAATCTGAGCTCCCGCAGCCTTCAATCAGGAAAGAAACGGAGTGAACTCGACGAACCATGTCGGAGAAGTCGTCGTCTTCGACCCATTCGCTCACATCGGCTGAGGAAAAAGACAAACGACCGCCATCGGCTCAGCCCATGGCTGAAAAAACGGTCAGTCGCGAATGGAAATGTCTGAGAAGAAGGGGGCACGGGTCAGATCCCTTTTTTTCCCGTCGATTGACATTTAGGAATGAGAAGAGAGAGGCGAGAGGATTTTTAGATTTGTACACTTCGAAATGATTGGTATTAGTGGTTTATTTTTTTAGAAATTTTGGCGACTCCTTTTTCATGGATATAAATTAAGTAGCTACAAATAGTTGTAAGACAAGAATATAGTGAATAAGCAAGAAACTCTGTTTTACAAGGGTATGTATTAAATGGTTCGATTAGAAAATTTAGAAATCTCTAAAATCGAATAAAAATTTGGAGATCGTCAAAATTCAACCTTTGGAGCTTTCACGATCCCCTGTCGATATCTCTTTCACTTCATGATTGTTGGAGTCCAACATATTTGAAAATCTTTGAGTGAGAAAATAGATTGACGTTCTAGCAAGTTACAAAAGAACTAAAGAACTAAAAGAAAAAAAAATTGCTTTAAAGTACAGATAACTTTAAGTCCCAGGAGAACTCAATATTTACAGGGATGGCCTCAATGTCCATCCAATCATTGCACCTTATGCATTAAGGTAAGAAATCCAAGAACCACTCTCAGATAAAAAAAGACACGTCTCAACTCCGATGGATATGCACTTCTCATTTAATACATCTAACGAAAGGATGACCTATCGTGTCTCACCTCCTACCAACATAACTGACGCAATGATTGACTATCATACATGGTTGTTGCTAAAAGTTCAAAGCTTGTGAGAAAGCTTCCAAAGTGTATCAGCGATCTCCTCCCCACCTGGAACGTGAGGGTCTTATTGTTGTACACAAATTTACATGTACTCTAAACCAGCCCCGTGAGCCCAATGGATAATAAGGCCTTCACCCATTGGGCCTAGAAACCACGAATAAAACAACCCAAAATGCAATGCTGGCATGAATGCGGTGTTCCCTCCGACCGACACGATCCATCCGAAAGATGTCAATCTGAACTTATATCTTCATCTAGAAGAATGACAATCTCGCTCGTATGAATCTGGAATTGGTAAAACATATTGATAAAGCAACCGTCCAATCAATTTCATCATCAATAGTTGAGATTTTGCATGGAGAAGCGTGTCGCCACCCTACGCCCTTAGCTGACAACGAGCATTTATTACACTTTCTTCTTTTTTTTTTGTGTGTGTGTGTGTATAAATTTGGCCCCTTAGGCCCCTCAAACAAGTTGTAATAACACAAAAACAAACAACTACATAAATTTCTGGAGAAACATTCTAGGTGTGCTTGTATATAATTTTGTTATTTGATATTTTGGTTTTGATTAGTTTTTTAGAAAAAGGTTGGTTGATTTAGGTTTGTATTGAAAAGAGAAATGATTGGAAGTGATGAGTAGTTAAAATTATGTAAGTCGAAGAGTAATGAATTAAAATAGATATGATGTGTAAGGATGATTGTTGATTCTGATTTAATTATATTGATAATATGCAGGATAGGAGAGTTGAGTTAAATTTGAGTTAGATTATGAGTTAAAAAAAAAAGTGATTACTAAAAAGTGATTGGAAATTGGTTAATCGGTGCACAAATCTCCTTGTTGATCTCCTAAACATATCGACATAATCTGCTTGCTACTGTTTTTTTTTTTTTTTTTTT